ATCGGAGATCAAAATCCTCTTAGAAGCAATCGTCGCCTCCACGAGATTCCTTCCTCTGTCGCTCAGCTCTCTCTTCCGCGGCGGTCGCACTCTGCTCCCTTCGCCGCCTCGGTGGTCACACTTTGCTCCTTCTGTCACCGTTCACCCTCTCCCACCGCGGATCTTCCACTTTCCGCTGGTGCATGCAGTTGTTGGCGACAAGATTTGATTGAAGGAGGGACGCAGGCTCGATTGAGAAATGGGAACCTTCTGTGTGGGATGTGAGGAGATTATTAAGAGCATGAGGTTTGGGATGGGCTAGGGTTTGGGATAAGAGTGGCTTGGGTTGTGAGCTATGAGATTGGGCCTGGGTTGTGGGTTGTTAGTGTGAGAGGGTGGGAAAATTTGGTTGTTCGGTTCGGACTCGGAAATTCGGGTTCGGTTGAGTAGAACCTGGTTTCCGAAATATGGGTCTTTGTCTTCCGAATTCTGAATTGAAGAACAACAGTTCGGTTTCGGTTCGGGTTTACCGAATCGGATGCCCACCCCTAATGAGCGGCATATTCGTGTCCTCGCTTATATTAAGAATCACAAAATCGGTCGGATAGCAAAACTTGCCCACTCACACAAACATGTCCTCCACAATTTCTCTCGAGCTAATGACCGAACGGTCGGCTAGAGTGATGCTAAGGTTAGTGGCATCACATTAACACTAGCCCCTAGGTCCTCCTAGGGGCTAGGTATTGTCTATATGATGGTTACCAATACCAAGAGGGATAGTAAAACTACCTGGGTCGGACCGCTTTTTGGGCAAGCGGTTAAGAAGGAAAGTCGAACATTCCTCGCCAAGTGTCACGTTGGCGAGGCCTTCAAGCTTCGACTTCTTAGTGAGGAATCCTTTGAGGTACTTGGCATATCTTGGTATTTGTGTCATGGCTTCAAGGAAAGGAATATTGAGGTGGAGATTGCGGAGCATTTCCATGAAACCTCCACACTCGTTCTCCAACCACTCCTTACACATCCTCGTGGGGAAAGAAAGAGGTGGCTTGTAATCACCCACCAGAGGTGGTGTCAGCGATGCCTTCTTGCCGCTTTCCTCTCTCTCCTCGAGGGCCCTTTTTCTTCATCCTTCGGGTTGGGATCTTCCTTCTCAATCACTTCTTTAGTGGCAACGCCCGTGGTCACCTTTACACTTCCCACTTGAATTGCATTCACCCCGACATGATCCTTAGGGTTCGCCACGGTTTGGGAAGGTAGGGCTCCCTTTGGAGGCTCGCATGATGGCTTCGGAGTCCCGCCTCAACCGAGGTAAATTTGGTAGTCGCAACATCCATGAATTACTCAATCTTCTCGAACTTTTGAGCACTCGTGCTCACAAAGTTGTTCACTAGGTCTTCAAGTTTGGATAGCTTGTTGGGTTGTTGTTCTTTAAACCCTAGGCCACCTTGTGGTTGGTATTGTTGTTGGAAGGTTGAGCTTTGAATTTGAGTACTTTGTTGGATGAAGGTTGGCCGGGGTTGGTAATTTCCCGTGGGGCCTTGAAAACCCGGGGTCTCGGATTAGTCGGGGATGACCAAGCAAAATTGAGGTGGTTCCTCCATCTGGGATTATAAGTATTGCTATACGGATTGTTAGCCCTAGCATTTTCCACGAAGTTGACTTGTTACTCCGGAGCGGTTGCCTCCTTCATTGCTTGGCACTCCGCTATCTCGTTGCTAGTGCTCGAACACCAGTCGCACGACTCATCGGCCTCTTTCCTTGCCTCTTATCTTCAAGCATTACCTCTATCAACTTGTCTAACTTTGCCTCAAGCGGAGCGCTCACTCCCATGCTTCTCACTCCCCTATCATTGCTTCTACTCTCACTTCTAGTCAATCCCAAATCATACCACCTGAGGGCCATGTCTTCAAGTAGCTTGGGTACTTGGGGTGGTGCCATATTCATCAATTTCCCTTGACACAAGGAGTCAATGAGAATTTTGTCTTCTTGGATAGACCTCCATAGAAGGTTTCAATACGAAACTGTTCTTCAAACACGTGGTGAGGGCACTGAAGAAAGTAATCAGAGTACCTCTACCAAGCGTCCCTCAAGGTCTCGTCCTCTTCTTGCTCGAAATGGGTAATCTTCTTTCTCCATTCCGCCGTCTTCGAAGGCGGGCAGTAGCGAGTCATGAATTTGTTGAGAAGATCGTCCTATGAGGTGATTGACCGAGGTAGGCGGTTGTTTATCCACCAAAGTGCTTTCCCCGCAAGTGATAGGGGAAAAGCCTGAGTTGCAAACCTTCGGCCGGTACTCCGTTGATTTTCAAGCTTCCCGCGAGCTCCAGGAACCTCTGCACGTGCTCTCTTGGCGACTCGCTCTCAAGGCCGTGGAACAAAGCATTGTTCTGTATCTTAGTCACTAGAGCCGTCTTGATCTCGAAATTGTTTGCCGTGGGGCCATATAGTACCCCATTGTCCTTGGGGCTTCCTCTTCCTCCCCCGCATCGTTTAGGTTACGAGTTTGGGCGGCTCCAACTTGTCTTTGGTTCCCCGCCATTTCTATTCCAATGACGGGTTCAACTTCCACATCTTCGACTTCTTCTTCACTAGCACTGGGACCCGATTGTTGGCCCCTTCCTTCACTTATTCTCCTTGCCTCCGCTAGCTCCCTCTCCCTTTTTAGGAGTCGGAGAGTTCGGTTTATGTCCTCATCAAGGGGTAGCAAAGATGTTGGATTGCTCCGGGTCATGCACCTCCCTACACACAATCGGAAAATAACACCAAGTGTAGCACAAGCAAAGCACACACATTCTCAAAACTGGAAATTAAAAGCTAGATTAATGACAAACAACTTTTTCAAGATAACAGACTGTTGATTCCTACCCAAAAACTTGACTCGTCCCGAATATCACAATTAATTCCTGCCTAAGGTCCAAGTATAAACCTTAGTCGGGGCAATACATGGCAAGTATGTTTAAATATCGAGTCGGGACGGTCCATATACCCCTGACTACTACTATGGTATGTGAATCGAAGTGATTGTTATGGGCAAGGTGACTGCGAACCGCTAGGGGACGCAAATATGGTCGTAGACCACACTCTCGATTGCCAAACCGAGGGATACATTATAGGCTCCTCAAGTGGCCCTCTCGGTTAAGGCACCCGATGGCTGACTTACTCCCTCTCTCAACCTAAGGGTTGGTCATCTTAATCGCGCTTAACCAAATTGTTTAATCCAACATCAAGGTTTGCCCTAAGTTAACCTAGATAGGTGACTTAAAAAGCTCTAGGAATCCCAAGTCAATTGCGCCTCCCTTGAAAGGGGGTTTTCGCTCTCTAATCTAGGTTAAATTGGCCAATTAGATTGTTAAGCACAAACATGCACAATCAACATGAAAAATACCTCAACCATGGAATTAAACAACACCCATGAACAATCATTCAATTCACATAACATAAACTACATGGTAAATAGTTAGGGTTTCACAACACCCAAGTGAAAAGAGGAAACTACTCCATGCTAGAAAGGGGAGAAACACAAGGGGAAGAGGTAGAAACCATCATGGAGATGCTTCCAATCTTCTTTGCACTTGTGCTGATCTTCTCTTGAGGAGAATCCTCCCAATTCACCACTTGGCGCAAACCCTAGCCTTCCTTCTCTTTTGGTCCATTCTTTCTCTCTCTCTCTAAAAGCTGAAGAAGACACTTTCTCACTCCTGGGTACTCCCTTCTCTCTTCCTTTCAACTCTCCTTTTAAACAAGGATCGGACTCAATTCACGGCGTCAGTTCACGGCCGTGAACTCTTGAACGCGTTCTTTGAACTCAAGGCTGGCGTCGTAACGCCCCGCTTCGCTTGCTCAGGTTCACGGGCAACAGCTCCAGTGCACGGTCTTAGTGACCGTAAACTGACCATGCGTCAGTAACTTAAGATTTGGCGCTGAACGCCTTGATATTCACGGCAACAGCTCTTCTTCACGATCTAAGCAGACCGTGAACTTTCACGAGAAACCGTGAACTGCCGGTTTTTCACCTCTTCTCCCGATTTTTGCTCCTTTTCGTCCAACTTTCGACTCCGGAGCTGGTTTCACCTGTTAAATCCCGAAACATGCTAAAACACAAGAAACCTCTTGTAAAACCACCCTTTTAGGAGCACAATTCCCACAAACACCTAAGGAAAACGGGGGTAAACAATGCACAATTAGGCCCGAATCATGACAGAACACTTCAGACCAGTTCATTTACGTCATTTTATGCTCATTCACACCATTTTGTCCCTTTTCATATATACTCGGTGATTTACGTACGAGTGTAAGTTTTTCACGTAAATGAAAATCCATACTTTTTCCCTATAATAATTTGTAATGGCTATATTTTATAGAATGAAATTTGAATTATCATTTAATCTATAAAAATATGTTGCATTCATCATAATCTACACAATGACAACCATTTTCATATTTTTCAAAATTTAAAATTCTATTTTACAACGGCGTGAAAAATTAACAATATGAGTGAATAAACATCAAGTGGCGTGACCTAACAGTATTGGTCGCGTGAATAATCAACTCTCTTACGTGAATAACACAAATATGGCGTGAATGTCACAAATATGGCGTGAATAACCCAAAATTAGTGGTTTTGTCACACAAGGGACTTCACTCATATAAAAATATCAATTCAATTTCAATAATCAACACTCTCAAAAGTTAACAATTCAGTGTCTAACGGGCCGGTCACAAACACTATAGGAATCATTTGGTTTTGGGATAGTATGATTGGGATAATTGCACTGTAGGCATTGTAAACAATGCATGCAGTAGATTCAAGATAACTAACCCACACTGAACGTTAAGATAGATCCACAACAAGATGAGTACATTTTTTACATTTTAGTCAACCGACATAGCTCACCTTCTTAAAACTGTAACGACAGCAAATCCACAGAAACTTTGGGAAGTCTAAGAATAAAAGAAGAAACACAAGGGCAATAACCATTGCAGTCAGAATCGACAGTTTGGGCAAACAGAGTGCTGGACTACTCACAAAGACCGTCCCCCTTTGGCAATGTCAGCAATGACTGATCGTTTAATTAGTTCCACAATGAGCCACTGCGATACAGGGCTTATAACCATCAGAAAATTGATTTGAGAAAAAACCAACATGTATCATTCATTCAGAAAGACTCGTACCTGAACCCCGATCACATTAGGGATGAGGAGCTTTCCCCTAACATTCGAACCCGAACCATCAATCAACTTCTGGTCAACCACAATAGCTTTACTGTTATCATTGCAATGCTAATTATCTCGTCAACCAAAGACGGAATCCAAGCGACCCTATTTGGAAGAACCTACAAAGAGCGCAAGGACAGGCAAACACAGCCCACATGCCTCAGGTACATATCAAGAACTTAATGGCCATAATTTCAGAGAGAAAACACACACCTTTTCATCACTCTCATTCTTATTGCATCTCCCACTGTTCTCAACTAAACCAATTGGAATAAAATAGTCCTAAAACAGAAAACAAAACAGAAAAAAATAAGAAATAGATATTTAGTTGTATGGCCATCACCAAAGTCATAATTGAACAACTGATGATCAATTCCCCAACACTTTCTGCAACCAAACCCATACATCCACATATCATTCATGCTATGTCCATAGAGGCATAGACTAATCAATATGCCTTACAAGCTAAATACCATTATGCTTATTGACACCAATCTAGTGCAGTTAGCCCGCCCTATGTCTTCAAATGTGCATGAAGAGAACAAATAGCAGAAACCAACATCCATGCTGGATCTATGCCTATTCATGCTTCAAAGACATTTCTGGTACAATGTCGAGGAAAATCATACCTCAATTTGCCGTTTCTTAATCAAGGCTCCTGTATGAATTGTTCTTAAAACAGCCTCAGACCTTCTGGAGGTAAAGACCTTCTGGAGAGTTGGGCGTGAGTCAGACCAAGCAAGCTTTTGCACCATATTTCTTTTCCAAAACCATCTGATATAGCGGTAACTATCTGCCTATCCAAGTCATCAACTCTATCTGTATGAGTCCAAGCGATCAATATAGAGTAGAACATCGATTGTCTTGTTCAAAAGAAACCTGAGTTGGCAAATGATAACACCATCGATTAGCTACACAATGAAAACAGAACCAACAGCCCTCTCCATTTTCTGCAACCCATTTGCTCTAGCAATACTAGCCGCTTAACCAACTCTAGAGCAGGATAGTTTACATAGCCACCTTCCACAAGCCCTAGGATGTCTATGATGTTAATGGTGACAGAGTTGGATTGAGTTGCTGTTGGTTTAATGAAGGAAAAATGAAGACTGCAATCCTTATTGCAGAAGGATTCGAAGTGGATCAGAGGAAATGAGAAGAACGACGTCGTGTTGCTGAGTCGTGAAGAAGAATGAAGCAAAACGCAGCGGATCATTTAGTAGTTGTTTGCCGTTAAACTTTACTGCTTATTTAAATTTCTAGCTTATCATGTAAGGACACCTGTCGTAGTTTGTTTAATCACTTTCCTATATATAAAAAGGAACAGAGGACTCAAACATTAGTTGAGCTTCCTCTTCCACAAATCCTTCTTTCGTGTTATGGTATCAGAGCTACACGAGCTCTAGGGTTTTTCCGCCGCCTACGACGGGATGTCTGGAGGACAGACTCCACCCAATACGCCACCCACCGGCAGTGGTGGAAGTGGAACAACGACGACAGCATGAGAAGCAGGTTTCCAATTTGGTACCTTCAACCAGAACCAGTTGCAGCCTGAAACCATTGTATTTGGTAATCCCTACTACCTTAACCCAAATGAGAACATATCTTAATCCCTTGTTGCTGATCCTTTTGATGGAGAAAACTATGTAATGTGGAGCAGATCCATACAAGTAGTACTGAAAACTAAGAACAAAGTAGGATTCATTGATGGGTCACTGCCAATCCCTCCTAGAGAATCGGATCTGTTTAGTCTCTGGGATGCGTGTAATACCGTGGTTCTCTGTTGGCTACAAAACTCGATGACAATGGAGATTCGAAGATCTTTCTTGAATCATACTAATGCTAAGACGTTGTGGGATGAAGTAAAGAGGCGCTTTGGGTTACTTAATGCCTTAAGGATCATGAATATTGAGGATGAGATCCATGCCTGCAAACAAGGTTCTAGGTCCATAAACCAGTACTACACAGCTATCAAAGGTCTCTGGGAGGAGTATGTGGAATTTTGTTCCATCATACCATGCACCTGTGCACCTGGAAACCCCATGCCTTGTGCTGCTGTAACTGCATTTGTGCAGAAGCAAGAAACTGATTACTTAGTCAGGTTTCTGAGAGGACTCAATCCAGAATTTGAAGTGATCAAGACCCAATTATTACTGCAGAAACCATTGCCCACAGTTTCAACAACAGTGGATGATCTTCTTCAACATGAGCAGAAGTTAAAAGCTGATGCAGCCATGGTAGGAAAGAGAGGACAAAATCTGGCTCTTGTATTTGGTGGTAACAATACGAGAGAAAGCAGTTCCAGAGAAAACAGTTCAAGAGACAATAGTTCCAGGGAGAACAATGAAGCAAGGGGAAGAAAATTTTGTCGATTCTTTAAGATGAACAATCACAATATAGAGGATTGTTGGAAGCTGAAGAAGAAACAGGAGAGAGAAGGTAATGGCCATGGATCAAATTCCAGTTCTAGCTCAAGCTCCAGCACTCCACGGTTTGCTGGCTACAATGAAGGTAAAGCATCAAATCCACCTGCATTTACAGCTGAAGAAATGAATCAACTCAGGTTTTTTATGCAAGCTGGTGCTAACACACAACCCTCACCACCTACTTCTCCATCCATTAACCACCAAGCCTACTCAGCTACCCATTACCCTTCTTCATATCCTAGTTTCTCAGGTAAACATGTCCTGTCATCCTCTCAAAGTAGTAAAACACATAATCTTACCTTATGGATTGTAGACACAGGAGCTTCTGATCACATTGCTTGTAGTCTTACGCTCGTCTTTAGCTATAAGCAATACAGGATTCCTTTGTCTATCTTCCCAACAGCACTAAGGTAGCAGTTACATGTATAGGGACAGTCTAGTTGGATTGTGGTTTGACCTTACATGATGTCTTGCTAGTTCCACAGTTTTCTTTTAACCTCATATCTGTTAGCAAGCTTACCCATGACAATCCTTATTCCTTACATTTTAATTCTGATAAATGTGAAATTCAGGACCTATTAAGCCAGAAGAGGATTGGTTTAGCCCACACAAGTAGAGGTCTCTACCAGCTTGCCCTTACTTCAAGACCAAACAAGCCTTCCCCACCAAATCATCTTCACCAAGCAGCCATTACATTCCATTTCCATCCTCAAGACCTGAACCCATGGCATTGGAGATTGGGTCATCCTAGTCATGATAGGCAGACTTTACTTAGCAATGTAATCCCATCTGTTTCCAAACTTAAGACAGTTCATTGTGATGTATGCCATTTATCCAAGCAACACAAACTTCCCTTTCCTGTTAGCACCAGTGTTGCACCTGCAGTTTTTTATTTAATGCACATGGATATTTGGGGTCCATTTTCTACTGTATCTTATGATGGCTTTGCATATTTTCTTACTGTCGTGGATGATCATTCTCGATGTGTTTGGGTATATTTGATGAGACACAAAAGTGAAGTAAGAGGTTTGATTCAAGGGTTTTGTAATCTGGTCAAGAACCAGTTCCACACAACAGTGAAAATCATCAGAACAGACCAGGGAAAGGAGTTTGAGATGTGTGAATATTTTTCAACAGAAGGGATTGAACATCAAGTCTCCTGTGTAGAGACACCTGAACAGAATGGCAGAGTGGAGAGAAAACACCAGCACATTTTGAATGTGGCTAGATGTTTAAAGTTTCAATCTGTATTACCCCTTTCCTACTGGAGTGACTTCATTCTACATTCTGTTTATTTGATTAATAGGATTCCCACATCTCTCCTTGACAACAAAACCCCCTTTGAGATTCTTTATAAGCAAGTGCCATCTCTGGGGCACTTGAAGGTGTTTGGCTGCTTATGCTATGCCACCACCCTTGTCCATGGCAGGGCTAAGTTTTCCCCAAGGGCACGACAATGTGTATTCCTGGGGATTCCAGCAGGGATTAAAGGATACAAGGTCCTTGATATTCATACTAGGACAGTTTTCTTTTCCAGAAATGTCACCTTTTATGAAACTATCATGCCTTTCAAACAATTAGATCAGCCTTCTACCTATACACCACCTCCACCTCCTTCCAATCCTTCCACTTCTGTTCCAGTCACTACTCCACCTCTCCAAATCCCTTTTCCCTTGATCCTTCTTCTACAAGACAACCTCATCCTCAGCCTGTTTCATCCATATATGAAGGGGGACTCCTGAGCATGAGGTGTCACCTACCACAGTGGTTAATGATCATTATTATACATACTTTGATTATGATCAGCAGGAATTGCATCCACAAGATGATGTGGACCCAGATGATCCAGACACTCTTGGGAACAGGAAATCATCTAGAACTATCACTCTACCAAGCAAATACAATGACTATCAGCTAGATCCTACTCTCAAGTTTGGAGCTTTTGGTACTGCTTAGTCCAGCAACAGGTATATTATCTGTCTGAATGTTAATTCTCTTAGTAAAGAAGACCAAAGTTTTGTGTTGAATGTCATTAACCAAGTTGAACCTAAGTCATACTATGAAGCTATAAAATCAGATGTGTGGAATAGAGCCATGAAGGATGAGATGTATGCTTTAGAAGAGAATCAAACTTGGGACATTGTCCCTTTACCACCAGGACTAAAGGAAGTGGGAAACAAGTGGGTTTACAAGATTAAACTTAGACCAGATGGGTCATTGGAGAGAAACAAGGCTAGACTGGTTGCTAAGGGGTATACACAGGTCTATGGGATAGACTTTCTTGACACCTATTCTCCTGTGGCTAAAATCAACATAGTAAAGACCTTCTTAGCAGTAGCAAGTGCCAAGCATTGGATCTTGGAGCACCTTGATGTCTCCAATGCATTTGTGCATGGAGACCTAAAAGAATGGGTGTGTATGAAGTTACCTCTTGGTTTAGAAGTACCTTCAGGAAGTAATCAAAGGATGACATGTCGTTTGAAAAATTCACGGTATGGCCTTAAACAGGCATCTAGACAGTGGTTTGCGAAGCTCACAAACTTTCTATTGAAGTTTGGTTTTTCACAGTCTGCCTAAGATTATTCATTGTTCACTAAGTGGACTCATGGAAAGATTACAGTGCTATTGGTTTATGTTGATGATATAATTCTGGGGGAGACTCTAAGAAGGACATTGAGCAGGTAAAGGCAGCATTAAGTAAGGAATTCAAGATCAAGCTGCTAGGGCCCCTTAAGTACTTTCTGTGGTTAGAGGTCAGTAGAACCTCAGATGGTTTGGATGTATGCCAGAGGAAATATGGTCTGGAGCTTTTAAAGGACACAGGTTACCTGGAGTCAAAGGGGTGCAAGACACCTATTGATACTAAAGTGAAGCTGACATCTAAAGGTACTCCACTAGAAGATGCAGAAGGATACATGAGGTTGGTGGGAAGATTACATTATCTAACCATCACCATGCCAGACATTACATTTGATGTACAACAGCTATCTCAGTACCAGAAGAACCCTTGTGTGGAACATATGCAGGCAGCCTACAGAGTACTTAGGTACCTGAAGTCCTCACCAGACCAAGGAATCCACTTTAGCAGTGAAGCAGAATTGAAGATGACAACCTACAGTGATTCAGACTGGGCAAGTTGCCCTGACACAAGAAGATCCATTACTGGATATTGTACCATGCTTGGCTCCTCTTTGGTGACTTGGAGGACTAAGAAACAGATCACAGTCTCAAGATCATCCTCAGAAGTAAAGTACAGGGCATTGGCACATCTGGTTTGTGAAGTTGAGTGGTTGAAAAGGCTGCTGTCAGAGCTAACCATACAAGTACCTTTA